AATGAAATTTTCTCTTTCGATACCATATTTAATTCAGAAATTTGGTAAATACTTGAAAAATTGGCATATCCAACTACTTCGAATTCAAGATAGCCATTACAAATTACCTCGTTGTGACCTTTACCTAAAATGAATTAATAACTATTTCGTTTATGATTTTATCCAAAATGTGTTTCTCACAAAAGACATCCATCAAACAATACAAATTAACCAATCCCATATTCCATATAGCCAACCACGAATGCATATGCAATGACCTTCATCTATTTGACATTCGCTCCGACACGAAACATTAACCTACATTTTTGATTATCTTTTCTCATCTTTAACATAAAGTTCGCCGGTTCAAACAAAGCCCTCCCAATGAACCATAATCAAAAGACTAGTTTGAAGCAGTTATGTTTCGAACCCCTGATGGTATTAGTCAGCAACCTACGCGCTGGAGTATGAATTTTTTTTACCATTTTTCGTATGCAAATATGTTTGAAATAAAATCAAATGGTCATTAAACTTGCTTGTTATGAGATGAATTATTTACATGGAGGTCTGAACTTTAGAAGGGCAAGGGCAACCTATATTTTCAAATTCAAATCTTGTTACAAATTTAAAATGTAACACGTGATTTGGCATATATTTTGCAAATAAATGACATCGATCATTTTTGTGTGGGAGCACGTGAAACGTTTGAATCTTCGGCGTAAATAGTTACTATTTCAAATATTCAAGAATTTCTGTAACAGTGTCTGTGTATATGTCAGTTTTACATGCAAATTGGCAAATAGAACGTGCTTAATAACCTTGTGGCTTGGCAGACATCACAAAAAAAAAACATATTTGAAATTCAGAAAATGTTTCTGTTATTTACATTTCTGAGTCGAATAAAAAAGCATGGAAAATTATGAATGAAAATCTACTTGTTAAGTCATGGAATTCTTTCTGTTTGCGTTGTGAAAAGTTGAATTACAATCTATTTTTTTTAATTTTCTATTAAAATATGCATAAAATTGTTTATCATAATTATGGGAGATACATTTCAATCAACATTCTCGATTTGAAACTATACTTTTTGAGAAATAAAATCAGGTGGAGAGACATGGTAGAGAGACTTCAAACATGTTTGAAGTATAAAAATGTCTATTGTCTCTCGATTGAAATTAAATTAAAACAAGTAAAAACCAGTAAAGAAAGTATTAAAGTCGGGCGGGGCAGACTTTATGATACCCTACACCACTTTGCTAATTTAGTTGAGCTCCACATAACAATTAAAAGTTTTTATGGGAGAATTCAATCATACACGCTATGATTATAATTTAAATTTAAAGTTCAAAGAACTAGATATGCCGAAGCATTTGTATCTTTTAAATTCGGACTTGTGTTGCCCATTTGGTGCACAATTAATTTGAAATCGGATAAAGATATATATGGTAGCTATATCCAAATCTGAACCGATCTCGATAAAATTTGGCAAAGATATTTCTGAGCTGTATTTGATATATTTCCCTGAATATCGTTGTTACGGAGTGCATACTACGGTTGTGGGTAACAAATATAACAAATCGAATGAATAATATATATGGAAGCTATAGCTATATCTGAACCGATCTTCACCAAATTTGACATACTAGCTTCTAGACTCAATTCGGTCGTATGTGCCAAATTCCAACCCATTTGGACAAATATTAGACGTTTGGTGCACAATCAAAGGTAAATCGGACGAAGTTATATATGGGAGCTATATCCAAATCTTAACCGATCTCGATAAAATTTAGCAAATGTATTTCTGAGCTGTATTTGATATAATTCCCCAAATATTGTTGTTGTAGAGTGCATATTACGGCGGCGGTGGACAAAAATAACAAATCGGATGAACAATATATATGGGAGCTATAGCTTCATCTGAACCGATTTGATCAAATTTTGGCATGCATATTTTCAGACCTAATTTGGGTGTATATGCAAAATTCCATACAATTCGGGCTGATATTACAGGTTTGGTGCACAATAAAAGTCAAATCGGACGAAGATATATATGGGAGCTATATCTAAATTTTGACCGATTATCTCCAATTTGAATAGGGTTCGTCCTTGGGCCAAACAAATGATCTGTGCAAAATTTCATCTGAATCGGGCAATAAATGCGACCTGTACTTTGTTTACAAAAATACATGGACAGACGGACGGACGGACGGACATGCATAAATCGACTCTGAATGTGATTCTTTGCAGATCATCAAAAGGAACTATGGGTCTATCTCGTTTCCTTTTGCCTGTTACAAACAAATGCACAAAGACATAATACCCTGACCAACTTATGGTGTAGGGTATAAAAATATCCTGTCGATTATTAAAATATATTTTGACTTCTGTTATGGTTATTCAAATTGTTGACCTTCTCTGGAGTAGGTTCCGAAGGAATGGACCAATATTGACCATTTCGTATCGGACCTAAACATATATAATAAAAATATTGTGAAATCCTAGGAATCGGACTATATTGGTTACTTCCGTCATTTTGTATAAGATATGTGTTAATTTTTATAAAAATGTTAAAATTTGCATGAGGTACCAGATATAGTTGGCCGGAGTATTCCATTTTCATTCTTCATCGAATACAGATAAAAATATTGGTATAGGCAAAATTACAAGCAAATCCAACAATTATATCCAATTTTATGTTAAATCATAAATTTCATATTCATCTCAGATATGTGGTTAAGAGTTTTAAGGAATCGCTGACTTGTTTGACAAGTTATGAGAGATACAAGTATTGAAAATTGTTACCCTTTGTGGGTGAGATACCAGAAGGGGTACGCAGATTTATATCATCTTCACAACAGCTCTTTTGTTAGCAAAAATATTTGTGTGTATGAAATTTGAAGGGAGTTGGATGCTTATTTCGCTTTTTTTTGAGCGTTTTGTTTGTCAAAATCTTGAACCCTATATGGGGAAGGGACCAAAAGAAATCTGCGCTCTATCGTCTTTATATCAGATCTTGTGTTGACGAAAATACAGGATGAGATAAAAAACTGCAACAAAGTCAAACGCCATAATTTTTACATTTTTTTTTAAATTGTATTTAACGAAAGCAAAAAATTGTCGGAAATAGCATCAAATTTTAGAATAAGTTTAGATTTGTTCGAATTGATCACCTTTGGTACGAATTGTGGCCTTCGAACGGCCAATGAAACTGTCACACGCTGTCCGACTGTTGCTCTCCGGTATTTGGCCCATTCCCGGCGAAGCGCTTGCTTGAGGTGATCGACACTTTGGTATTTTTTAGTGCCAATCTTGCTTTCCAAATTACTCCAGACACAATAGTTCAACGGATTGATATCCGGAGATTTTGGTGGCCATTGTGCGCTGGAAATGAAGCGAGGAACCTCATTTTGTAACCATTCGTGGGTGGCGCGTGCTGAGTGCGATGGTGCTGAGTCCTGTTGGAATGTCCAAGATCTGCGGCCAAAATGTTTGCCTGCCCAAGGCTTTAATACACCCTCCAGAATATTTTCGAGAAAATATTCGACATTTATTCTGATGCCATGGTCGATTAATAAGTATAATAATAATTATCATTTATCACCATGGCCGGCGCTTGAGTTCTGGTGGCCAACCGAAGGTGCACATTTTCAGCTGACCTCTTTGATAAGTAAACACGACTATGTTTGTTTTCAAACTGCTGGACAACGAATGTTTTCTCATCGGAGAAAACTAAACCAAAGAAAATAGACTCAAAAGAGCTAAAGAGTTTCGGCCAAGCGAAGAAATTCTTTTGAGTCTATTTTCTTTCTGTTGCGGTGTAAGTTCTAGCACTTTTTGGAATTTCAATGGCTTTACTCCGAGCTCATTTTTCAGTATTTGACGAATGAAATATTGCGATATGTTCAGCTCACAAGCCATTTTTCGGCCACTGCGACGCGGGTTTCGATAAACTCGCTTTTTTACTTTTCGAACCATTTCTGCTGATTTTGCTGTTTTCTTCTGTCCACTTCCTTAACGTCGGGCTACGCTACCAGTATCATGGTAACAAGCGATGGTACGAGACACAAGTTTTCCAGCCAAATATAAAGAAATCCCACTATCACGCTTGAATTCCATCACGAATAACTTTTTTTCTGAAAAAGTTTCACCAAAATGCTTTTGTAAGCTTGTAAGCAATATAATGAGCTGTCAATGGAATAATTTTAACATCCGTCGGAAGAGTGCCTTAGAAATGACAGCAGTATGAAGTTGGTTGCACTTTTTTCATCTCATCCTGTATAGAGATGTACCAGTCTAAATGGAAACGGATGTTGATTTCGTGTTTTATGAACTTCAGGAATATTCAAAATTTGACCCTTTGTGGGGGAGGTACCAGAAGGAGTGGACCGATATTGCCCATCTCCGAACTCGATCTAAGTTTTTTCATCTCATCCTGTATAGAGATGTACCAGTCTAAATGGAAACGGATGTTGATTTCGTGTTTTATGAACTTCAGGAATATTCAAAATTTGACCCTTTGTGGGGGAGGTACCAGAAGGAGTGGACCGATATTGCCCATCTCCGAACTCGATCTAAGTTCGATAATAATATTACGTTGTACCAAGTTTGGACCAAATCGGATACTCCTTTCGAGAATTATTGTGCGCACCAGTCAGACGGACTGAGAGACTGACGTCGCTAGATCGACTCCAAATGTCTTGAAATGGATTTGGTCCAAAGAGACTTAGAGTCTAAAACCATTATTTCGATGAGGCACGATTTGGCCGTATCAAATGATATAAACTCTAGTCATATGGCTGAGGGTATATGCATAACTGTTTATGGGAGAAACATTTTAGATTTGAAATACTTTCTGATAAACAGAGAGAGAGAGAGAGAGAGAGAGACATGGTAGAGAGACTTCAAACATGTTTGAAGTATAAAAATGTCTATTATTTCTGAGCTTTTTAAAATTATTTTTGATTCAAATTAAATTAAAATTTTGATATTAATTTTCCATTTTGTCTTCTTCCTTATTCTAGTGTTGGAAACCGAAGTCATGCAACAACACAACTTGTCTGGCCCCAAGGATGGTGAGGAGTTTGATCCCTATGTCTGTAGTCTAAGTCCCGAATTGAAAGCGGTGGCCAAAGAGGAACTACACGAAGACGACAACATTCGCAAGCAGGCCTTGGCTCAGTTCCGTGAATGGATCGCCAAACATCCACACATTAAAAAATGTCGCACCGATACAATTTTCCTTTTGCGCTTCTTGCGCACCAAGAAATTCTCCGTGCCGGCGGCTTGTGAAATGTTGGAACGTTATTTGACCATTCGCCAGCTGTTCCCCCATTGGTTTAGCAAATTGGATATTGAAGATCCGGCTATGAGTGAAATTTTCGATAATGGTTATTTGGTACCGCTGCCACAGCGTGATGAACATGGACGGCAAATTATATTCTCAGTGGCGGCCAAATTTGATCCCTACAAGTATACCTCGGTGCAAATGGCACGTATTCATTCGCTAATCTGTGAGGCCCTGCTGGACGATGAAGATTCCCAGGTGGCTGGCTATGTTTATGTCAACGATGAGAGTGGCATGAATATGGGTTTTGTGAGCCTATGGTCTCTTACCGATTTGAGAAGTATTTTGAAATGTATTCAGAACTCGACACCTATGCGTCACAAGGAAACCCATTTCCTGAATATACCTCACTATGCCAACAGAATTATTGAGTTGGCAGTATCGATGTTGAGCGATAAGCTGAAAAAGAGAATTATTGTAAGTTCATATTTGAAGGCTTTTTTTCCGAAAATATTTTGTTAATTCTTCGTTTTTCCCCTTTAGGTCCACAAAAGCATTGATGCCTTGAAGAGCAAAATAGATCCCTCAATCTTACCCAAAGAATATGGCGGCACCGTACCCATGGCCGATATGATCAAGGAATTCAAGGTGAAGCTGCAACAAAAACGTGCTGCCATTTTGGCTTTGGATGACATGCAAATCGAAATCACAAAAGATGCTGCCAGTTTTGCCGGCAATGATGTGGGAGAAATTGATTCAGGCGTTGTGGGCAGTTTTAGAAAACTAGAGGTCGATTAAACGATGCCAGCATCCCAACACAGGCTTCCAATCTCAGTAACAAATCGCAACAATCCTTAAATGTGTTTTTAATTTTATAAAAATATCTTCATTATTATTATGATAATTATTATTGTTAATAGTATTAAGTTTTTATCTCATTTATGTATGTATTTTATGTGTGTTTGATTTAATTATGTACACTCAAGTAAATTGGAGATGATTGAAAAAAAGAGAAATTTGTGATAAGTAAAATCTCTCACTAACCTCGTCACATTGATTTGTCCATTATTCTCTCCATCCAAGCCCAGAAAACTAACATCCATTCGAATGATATTTAAAATATTTTATATATTTGCTTTTCATAATTTATGAAACATAATTTGTAAGCAAATCTTTTGTTGTTCTATATTATGTTTTTATTATTTTTTTTTATTTTATTATTATTTTTTAATTTTTTATTTTCGGCCAACAACAACAAACGAGATCGAAAATTTCCGAAAACAAAAAAATATATATTTTTTTGTTTTATTTATTCTTACTTTTATATTTTATTTTCAAGTTTACTTGTCTTGTCGTTTTAATGTAGTATAATAATTTAATAGTAATTAATAAATATTAAAATAAATGTTTTAAAAAATAAAATCTGTTGAAAATCTAAAGAAAACATAGATTTTGTAGATATGTGAAAAAAAAAGTATGGGAACCCTGGGTCCCTTCTGCCTTATATAAAACATTTTAAAATGTCACTGACCGATTATCTCTTCAATTCCCATACAAAACGTTTATGCTCTTGTCATGCAGGTCACTTCTTATGGATTAATGCGAGAAAATGTAGGGTATTTGAAAATCCGGAATAGAATTTTGTAGATATGATGAATTGGAGGTTCAATTAAGGAAGTGGGGGAGCCCCAGGTCCATCCCGTCATATATAAAAAATTTAAAATATGAGTGACCTATTATCCATTCAATATCTAGTCAAAACGGTTAGCATCTTGGCATCCAGGTCAATATTTCTAGGTTTATGCGGGAAAAAGTAGCGTTTTTGGAAACTTGTACTAAGAGAAACGAATAACTGCGTTATTGAGTCCGAATTCTGTACTCTCTTGAAATTTCATTTAAAGGTTGATAATAATTTGTAAAAAAATATTTATTAAAGAATATTTTCAAAAAAAGAACAAAACAAAACTGTTTTTTATAAAAAAAATATATTATTTTTCAGGGACCAAAAAGGAGAATTTTTTAAGAATATTTCTTCAAGTATTAATGCAAAAAGGGGATATTTTTTCAAGAATGCATAACTTGCATTTAATAAAGAACATTTTGTCAAGGACCAAAAACGTGGATTTATTAAAGAACATTTTTTGAAGGATTTAATTTTTTTTTAAATGCCGGAAAAGTGGATTTAAAAAAGTTATTTTTTTTAATCTTTTTAAAGAATTTTTTATAGGACAAAATACTTGATTTTTCTAAAAAAATATGTTTTCAAGAATTTTTTACAAAATATTTGTTCAAGGACCAAGAACGTTGTTTTTTTAAAGAAAAAAATTTAAGGATTAATTGAAAAAGTTGAAGTTGAAAAGTTGAATTTTTAAAAACTATTTCTTCAACGATAAAAAAGTTAATTTTTTTGAGAATATGTTTCAAGGACCGAAACAAAACGTGAAATTTTTAAAAAATATTTTTTCAAGACCAAAAATGTAGGTTTTTTAAAAAAATAATTTTTAAAAGATTAATGCAAAACGTGGATTTAATAAAGAAAATTTTGTCAAGGACCAAAAACGTGGATTCACTAAAGAACATTTTTTGAAGTATTTAATTATTTTTTAAGACCGGAAAAGTGGACTTAAAAAAGTTATTTTTTTTAAATCTTTTTAAAGAATTTTTTATAGGACAAAATACTTGGTTTTTCTAAAAAAAAATGTTTTCAAGGATTTTTTAAAAAATATTTGTTCAAGGACAAAGAACGTTGTTTTTTTTTAAGAAAAAAAATTAAGGATTATTTGAAAAAGTTGAAGTTGAATTTTTTAAAAACTATTTCTTCAACGATAAAAAAGTTAATTTTTTTGAGAATATGTTTTAAGGACCGAAGCAAAACGTGAAATTTTTAAAGAATATTTTAAGGACCAAAAATGTAGATTTTTTAAAAGAATAATGCAAAACGTGGATTTAATAAGGAACGTTTTTTCAAGGACAAAAAACGGGGATTTAATAAAGAACATTTTTTCAAAGACCAAAAACGGGTATTTAATAAAGAAAATTTTTCAAAGACCAAAAACGGGAATGTAATAAAGAACATTTTTTCAAAGACCAAAAACGGTGATTTAATAAAAATAACTTTTTCAAGGATTAAAAAAATTTTTTTCAAGGATTGGTATTGGGTGAAGGAATAAGGCTGGAATCCCGAAAGTTATTATTTAGGTCTCTATTGGTGTCTGTGATTGAGATGTGGAGGTGGTTTTAGAAATTGCGTCCTATATTTGTACAAAAAATACTATATGATACTAAATTTGGTGTTGGGTGAAGGAATATAGTTGGAATCCCGAAATTTGTTATTTAGGCCTCTGTTGGTGTCTGTGGTAAAGATATGGAAGTGGTTTTGGAAATGCACCCTATATTTGTAAAAACTACTTAATAATACTAAATTTGGTATTGGGTGAAGGAATAAGGCTGGAATCCCGAAAGTTGTTATTTAGGTATCTGTTGGTGTCTGTGGTTATGATATGGAAGTGGGTTTGGAAATGCGCCCTATATTTGTAAGAGAACAACTTTATAATACTAAAATTGGTATTGGGTGAAGGAATAAGGCTGGAATCCCGAAATTTGTTATATAGGTCTCTATAGGTGTCTGTCACTAAGGTGTGGAGGTGGTTTTGGAAATGAGTTCTATTTTTTTTACAAAAAATACTATATGATACTAAATTTGGTATTGGGTAAAGGAATAAGGCTGGAAGTCCGAAATTTGTTATTTAGGTCTCTGTTCGTGTCTGTGGTTAAGATATGGGAGTGGTTTTGGAAATGTGGATTTTTAGAGAATATTTTTTTAATGACTAAAAACTTGGATTTTTTGTAGATTATTTTGTCAATGATTAATGAAAAACGTTTATCTTTAAAGAATATTTGTTGAAGGACCAAAAACGTGGATATAATAAAAATATTTTTTAAGGATTTTTTCAAAGATTTTTTTGAGGGCCAAAAATGTGGTTTTTCTAAAAGATATCTTTTTAAGGATTTTTTCAAAGACATTTTTTTTTGAGGACCAAAAACTTGGTTTTTCAAAAAAAAAAAAAATATTTTTGTAACAATTTTTTTCAAGGTGATTTTTCGTTTTTTTTTTCGTCTGAACTATCGAGGTAGATTTACCCAAAAGGAGTAGAGTTATATTTCACCTATTCGGACTGGATTTAAATTGGTTACAAATGTTGCGAAAATTATCATTAAAATATTTCGTTTGAACTTAATTAGATACTCCCATCTAATGATGTCCAAGGTCTAAAGCCACTATGCCAAAAGTACTCAACTGTACTAAATGCTACGTGATGGTTCTTAGCGAACTGTTAAAATATATATAATTCTCGAATCTGTAACACTTCAGATAAGATGGGATGAAACTCGCTCCTTTGTTTACAAAGTCAGAAAAAATCCTTGAAATGCCTGCTAAGAGCGAACCTTAATGCTATAAGGGACGTAATATTGTCATGTGGTTATAAGCGAGAGTGGGGTTAAGGTTATTTAGAAATTCAGTCTAAGAAGATATATTTCATACTAAAACATGCTTCCATTTTATCTCTGAATGTTAACACAATCTCAATAAATAACCATAGAATTAAATTGACATACAGCCTAAAAGTATGCTAAACACATAGTGTTTTGATGGAGTAAATTTCATTAAAAGCTCAATGTCTTCGCAAAACAATTGGCTATAACATAAATACATTTATCGCTTTACAGATATTGATTTAAACCAGTAAAGAAAGACTATGATACCCTACACAACTTTGCTAATTTAGTAGAGCTGCGCATAACAATTAAAAGTTTTTAAGGGAGAATTCAATCATACACGCTATGATTATAATTATAATTTAAAGTTCAAAGGACTAAATATGTCGAAGCATTTGTATCTTTTAAATTCGGACTTGTATTTCCCATTTGGTGCAAAATTAATTTGAAATCAGATAAAGATAATAATGGAAACTATATCCAAATCTGAACCGATCTTGATAAAATTTGGCTAAACTATTTCTGAGCTGTATTTGATATATTTCCCTGAATATCGTTGTTACGGTGTGTATATACGGCTGTGGGTAACAATTATAACAAATTGGATGAAGAGTATATATGGCAGCTATAGCTATATCTGAACCCATTTCGATCAAATTTGGCATACTTATTTTCAGGTCCAATCTGATCGTACGTCCAAAATTCCATACTATTCGGACTGATATTACACGTTTCGTGCACAATCAAAAGTAAATCGGACGAAGTTATATATGGGAGCTATATCCAAATCTGAACCGAACTCGATAAAATTTAGCAAATGTATTTCTGAGCTGTATTTGATATATTTCCCCAAATAATGTTGTTACAGAGTGCATATTACGGCTGCGGAGGACAAAAATAACAAATCGGATGAACAATATATATGGGAGCTATAGCTATATCTGAACCGATTTCGATCAAATTTGGCATGCTTATTTTCAGGTCCAAATTCCATAATATTCGGACTGATATTACACGTTTGGTGCACAATGAAAGGCAAATCGGACGAAGATATATATGGGAGCTATATCTAAATTTTGACCGATTATCTCCAATTTCAATAGGGTTCGTCCTTGGGCCAAACAAATGATTTGTGCAAAATTTCATATGGATAGGACAATAAATGCGAACTGTACTTTGTTTACAAAAATACATGGACAGACGGACGGACGGACGGACATGCATAAATCGACTCAGAATATGATTCTATGCAGATCATCAAAAGAAACAATGGGTCTATCTCGTTTCCTTTTGCCTGTTACAAACAAATGCACAAATACATAATACCCTGACCACCTTGTGGTGTAGGGTATAAAAATGCTTTTATTATCCACTTCGTATCGAACCTAAATAAATATGTCATAAATAACAAAAATGTTCATATGCTTGAAATTTGAAGGGAGTTTGATGCTTATTTCGCCATCTGTGAGCGTTTGTCAAAACCTGAGCCCTATGTGGGAGTGGTACCAGATGAAATGGTCCGATTTCTACAATCTTTATAATGAATCTTATATTAAAAGAAATCTTGAGATTTGCCAAGTTTGAATGGGATCGGATGTTAAGTTCACGTTTTATGAGCTTCAAGGATATTTGACATTTTGACCCTTTGTGGGGGATGTACCAGAAGGAGTGGACTGGTATATTCCATCTTCTCAGCATATTCTGTTTAATATAATCTGAGGAGAACCGGATGCTTATTTTGGATTTTATGATCGTTTTGGTTATTCAAAACTTTGACCCTTTATGGGGAAGGTATCAGAAGAAATGGCCCGATCTCTACCATCTTTATAACATATGTTGTGTTGATAGAAATATTAAGATGCACCAAGTCTGAATGTAATCCGATGTTAATTTCGCGTTTTATGCGCTTCAAAGATAATACAAAT